GCTTTTATTGCTGTTCTTCATCTCGATATAACAGTCAGTGAGGCCTTCAACACGGAGCGAAAAAACTCTCACCTTACTGCAATTTTAGCACTGGATTGAGTGGAATTCTTTACAAACTGACGATCACGCCACAACACTCCAATGAATGGCCATAAAGTACCATATTAACGAGCTAATTTGACTGTCAAGGGTCCAATGTAAAATGTTGGATTAATTTAGAGCAAGGACGTATAACTAACTTACTAGTATAACTAAAATATACGTCCTTGATTTAGAGCGACTTTGAATTTGTCCTCGGTAGTATTGTCAACGTTATATTTGTTCCGCCTAACAAAAGTTCCCCTGGAAACTTTGTTATAAACAATGTCATAATATCTGTTCCTATTGGAACAAATATTCTATACCGTTTATTCCGTAAGGAACAAATACTGTAATATTTGTTCCAGTGGAAATAATATTACAGAATATTTCTTCCACTTCGAACTTTTATTATGAAGGAACTTCTATTTCGTGACAGTATTGGTGACCGTGCCCGTTCGTCACTCAAAGATATAATCGAGTGGAGCGATGAATAAAAAAAGACAATTGTTTAGAGTGATTTCTAAATGTAATGGTTTAGTCATTTTTGCTAACCGAAAAGGTTGAGTGCCCCTATTTGCTGTGCAAATAAACGATGAAAGAGGTATTTTACACCGTAAATGGGAAAACCGTGGCTGAACATAAAACTTGAGATAATCAAAAAGAAAGTTACAAATTGTAAAAAATAGATAATTTGTTTTAGAAATATTATAAAAAATAAATAATTTATGTTATGTCCATTGCTGTCTGATTTGTTATTTCACTTTAAAACTACACATACCGCACGTCTGGGACTATTATACTAACTATTTCCCAGCGCACATGCAGTCACTTATCTCTGATTTTTATTACTTACGCTATCGTGTATTATATAATAGTACATGCATATAGGTCAAAAAGGGGAGTAAATAAGTATGTCTCTGGCTATGTAAAAAATGAAGAGTAAACAACCCTGTATAATTCACTGCGTTTGAAGCTCTTTCAAAAAAGAGTCTAGATTTACCTTCATTATGAACGCTCAAAGCCGAACGTAGAGCATTCTCCATCTGGTAGTGCAGAATTATATTAGGGGACGACCATTTGATATTAGGGGGGGGGGGAGCAGGAGGATTTTTAAAATAAATAACTCAGCCTTGATAATAACAAAAATGAATGGTTTGTTCTGTGTCAATGTATTGAAAATAACTTGGCAGGTCTTTTAATCCATTTTATAAATGCTATTCTGAAGTATGAGATGGCACCAGATTCTTCCAGAATTCATCTTTTTTCATATTTTTTTCGGGAAAAACTTTAATAACATAAATATTAATGTATTTTGAAATGTTTGAAAATGGGTTTCAGTTCACTTGAGGTATATTGTCTCGTGAACATTTACCTCACTTTTATTACAGGGCCGTAACTACATTGAGGCAAATGCCTCATGTTGGAAATTTCAAAACAAAAGCTTGTCTTCATATCAAATTGTTTTCACAGCAAGTGTCTTGCAAGAAGCAAGTTCTGTTCACCCTCTGACGTAGCCCCTGTTTTTTGAGATCCATGTTTCTCATTTATTTTTTTTATTTTAATTATGTCTAAAAGACAATACAAGCGTTTAGAAAATAAACTAAAACGAAAATATAAGCGTCAAGAGGGTGATATGATAGCTACATTGCGTAAAAGCGACCCAAAGAAATATTATAAACTGTTTCAAAAGAAGAGAGCCAAAACTTCTGATGTGTCACTTTCAGAATTCTTCGAACATTTTAGAAATTTGGTCACAAATGATGGTATTAATGTGACAGTCGATACTCCAGAGACCGTTTCCGACACAACATATGATGAACTTGATCAAACTATTACACAAGATGAAATTTTGAAGTGTATTTCTAACCTTAAACGTGGTAAAAGTCATGGTATTGATGGTACATTTAACGAGTTATTCATTGAATTTAAGGATATCCTGCTACCATTCCTAGAGGAAATATTCAATAAGATATTAGCATCAGGACATTTTCCGAAATCTTGGGCACTCGCAGTGTTAATTCCTGTTTTTAAAAAAGGCGACTCGTCCGATCCAGCGAACTATCGTGGAATCAGTTTAGTCAGTAATTTAGCGAAACTGTTTACATCTATTATAAATTCAAGACTAATAAAATGGTCTGTGAATAATGATATTATTACAGATGCGCAATTTGGATTTCGCCCGGGTAGCAGCACTGTTGATGCAATTTATTCTTTGTTGACTCTCGTTCAGAAAGCACTTTTCAAGAAAAAACGTTTGTATTGCTGTTTCGTTGACTACAAACAGGCATTTGACTCCGTAACCAGACTTAACTTATGGTTGAAACTATCAAGAGTTGATATAACAGGCAAATTACTGTCTGTTTTAAAATCAATGTATTCTACAGTAAAAGTATGTGTGAAAGTTGATGGTTTTTATTCTGAGCAGTTTACAAGTTCAGTTGGTCTTATGCAAGGGGAAGTTCTTTCTCCTATACTATTTTCGTTATATGTAAATGACTTTGAAATGGAATTTCTACGTAATAGTAATATACCATATGAAGTGCAAGACTTGTCATTGTTTTTACTTATGTATGCTGATGATATGATTTTATTTTCTGATTCAGTTATTAGCTTGCAAGATATGTTAGACACATTATTATTATATACTTGTAAATGGGGTTTGACTGTAAATATTGCCAAAACAAAAATTATGGTATTTAGAAACGGAGGTTTTGTAAAAGACGAAGAAATTTGGTATTATGATGGCAATACTATTGACATAGTGGATGAATTTTGTTACCTTGGTGTACTGTTAAATTTTAACGGTAAATTTGTTAAAGCTCAAAAACATTTAGCTGAGCAAAGTAGAAAAGCTGTTTTTGGTTTAAAGTCGAAGGTTTCGTCATTGTATTTGAATGTTTTTACATATTTGAATTTATTTGATACTTACATTAGTAGTATTTTATGTTATGGTTGTGAAATATGGGGCTTCCATAAAGCTCCAAATATTGAAAAAATACAACTTGATTTTTGCAAAAACATATTAGGTGTCAAACAATGTACAACAAATGTTATGGTTTATTTTGAATTGGGTAGATATCCTTTGATATATTTTAGAATGTACAAAATAGTGAAGTACTGGTTAAAATTGTTATCCACAAGCAACTGTATTCTTAAAAACTGCTACAGGGAACAACTGTATAATTTCTGTAATATTAGAAGCAGTTGGACTTATCAACTACAACAATTATTATTTAACTTAGGTTTAAATGAGATCTGGTATAACCAATACAATTTGATTATGGATACAAATTTATTATTATTTGTAAAAACAAGGATATATGATCAAGCAAAACAGACTTTGAATGATCAACTGAAAGTTTCATCTAAGTGTTATTTATATAAATATATTGTCAATAATGTATGTTTACAGAATTATCTAACCAAACATATGAATTTTAGAGTGTATTTAACTCGCCTTAGATTGTCATCTCATAATGTGTTTGTTGAAGTAGGCCGTTATCATGGAGTAAATAGGTTAGATAGAAAGTGTACTCTTTGTACTTTGAATATCACTGAAGATGAATTCCATTTTGTTTTACAATGTGAATGCTATAGAGACTTAAGGAGACAGTTTATTAAACCTTATTATTATAGACGTCCATCGTCGTTCAAATTAGTGCAACTTCTCAGAACTGAAAATGTAAAAGATTTGCGTAATTTGTGTAAATTCTTGTTTAATGCATTTAATCATAGGACCAAACTGTTATTGGTCAATACTTGATATTTATTTGCTTCTCTGATGTATTATGTCATGCTGTGTTATAGAAATGTATTTGTATTTATTGAACTGATAAGCATAATGTGCTTAAAGTAATAAAGAATTGAATTTTTATTTTTCAGTGTTGATTGTCTATAATGTTTGTCGTTTTGTGTTTTATCTGTTCCCGGGTTTGTCTTTTGTTCATTGATTGCCCTTCTTTATGACTATTCTCTTTGTAATTTAGTAATTATGTTTTAAACTTGAGTTTATTATATTTAAGGACCTTTTGTCTATTACAAACTACTTTAAATTGTATCCCAGTTAGGAACTACATCAAGTTGTAATTGAAATGTGTTATAAAAACTGACTTGACATAGTTATATCAATGATAATCAGCCCCCTCTTAACTTAATTTGAAAAAAAAAAAACATAATTGACAGGTATAAAACGTTTTTCTGCAAACTGAAACATTTTTTGCTTTGTCCTACATATTGATCTTTTGATGTTGTCCCTAAAGACTAAAAGTCTTACACTGAATCTATATATTTTGCTTTGAGACCAGAATATTGTCAATAAATTAAAACAGAACTTGCGTTTCAGATTAAGAAAGGGTCTGGGAAACGCGCATAATGCATGATTATAGCTTCTTGGGGCCTTTAGCGAACCCCAGACTCTTCGCTGATTTTCCAGCTTAAATACCTTATACCTATGCAATATATGCAGTTTGCAATTCAGAAGATTAACTTCCAGAGGATGGTGATTAATTATGATTGACTTAAATGACCGTATGTTATTTATTTAAGAATTTAAAAATTGTATGTTTTCAAATATTATAAATATAATTGTGAAAATAGATAATCAGTACCTTGTTTTAATGAAAATAAAAAAGCATGCTTCAACAGTGCAGAAAATAAATAATCTGTCCTTTTGGTCCACAAAAATAAATAACCCATCCAAAACAAATCCCCCCCCCCCCCCCCCCCACAGAATATCAAATGGTCGTCCCCTTAGATGTATATTTGTTTTTGGATTGTGTATATGTATTTATACGTTTTTATGGATTCAATTCGTTCCTTATTCTTTCCACAGTAACAGACAACTTGTATTCTTTGAATTAACAGGTCCACATTCAGTTATACTTCCGTCATTGTTAAGTAAATTAGTATTTGGACTTCCGGTCGTATTCTTTACTGTGAAAAGTGTCAAAATAATAATGTTATGAACAATTTCAGCTTTAGCAGTCTGGACTTAACTTGGAGGTACTGTTACTTTATCTGAAATGCTCTTACAATCGAGCCACATCCATTATTTTTATTATTTTGATAAAGTTCCAGAAAATACTTGGTTTTATTTTTTTTAATAATTTCAAGGATTTGTATAGACTATACAATCCTTGATAATTTCTTCATTTTCAGAAAAGTTTTGATATTAAAAAACTCATCCTGAATATCCATAACATATTTGCTACTGGATGTTAGCCAAACATCAAATTGAAATTTCAATACTTAATTGATATGGGGTGTCGCTGGGGTTCTGTTGCCCTCCCTTTTCATATAATTTAGATTTTAAAAATGTATACCTTTTCATATATTGCGAAGGTAAAAATGTAACCTTTTCCCATAATGGTTGGGTTACGTGTGGTGTGTTGGAAAAGTGAAATACCAAAGGCTCAGATTCCTTATGTAATGTTTACTTACGGCAAGGACGTATATTAGATGTTAGTTATACGTCCTTGCTTACGGCAAGACTTTCGGCTGTGAAAAAATTACAGGGCTTTTCATATACCAAGTAATGGGAACTTTATTGACCTTATCATACATTTCTGATAGTTTTTCCCACCTATTCATATATTTTCAAGCTAGAAAATGTGACCTATTCAAGGGGCACATCCTATCACCTTGTATATATAGGAAGTGGACCCCCGAGAAATAATTGTTGAAGTCAATTCTATAAAAGATTTTTCAGATACACCTTATCACTATTTATTCAAATCCTGATAAGTTCTAAAATTACACAACTTTTTCATCCAGTTGAAGCTATCTGGGTCCCTGTTTAAACAATGTATTAAACAGTATTACGCATAAAACTTTCCAAAGAGAAATGTTTAACCATCGTACAGACTTTAAACAAAGTATTTTTATTACTTTGATTTGTGCTTTAAAAAAGTGGATCATAAATCTATCAAAGTTTCAAAATGTTTGCTTTCTAAACCTTTTCCTTCTATAGCTCATTACTGATGACCTTTGTTTTTGCAACACTTGACCCAAACAGGAAGTTGTATAAATAGATATAGGAAGATGTGGTATGAGTGCAAATTAGACAACTCTCCATCCAAGAAACAATTTATAAAAGTAAACCATTATAGGCCAAGGTACGCCCTTCAACACGGAGCATTGGCTCACACCGAACAGCAAGCTATAAAGGGCCCCAAAAATTACTAGTGTAAAACCATTCAAACGGGAAATCCAACGGTTTTAATTTATATAAAAACGAGAAACAAGTATGAACTACATAAACAGACGACAACTACTGTACATCAGTTTCCTGACTTATGACAGGTGCAAACATTTGCAGCGGGATTAAACGTTTTAATGGTACCAAACCTTCTCCCTTTTCTGAAACAATAGTATAACATCACAACATAGAAAGACACACTATAAAATATCAATTGGAAGGCTTAACTCAATCAAAAAACGTAAATTAACACACAATGAACAAATAAATTTGATCTGTGATACCTGAGTGCAAATACATAGTTAATAAAAATTATAAGGGATAAATAATTGACTGCTTTTTCTGGATTGGACTAAATAGCGATAAGGTGTATTGAAATAGTCAAGTCAATTCTTTAAAAGATTTTTTTAAGAAATGATGAGAAATGGAGTTTTAAAGGGACACATTTTCAAGTAAATCGAAAACCTGGACTTTCTATTTCTAAGAAAACTGAGTGCTCCCAGACTTGCTTCCCATTGTTATAACAGATGCCGCTTCTTGGATAAATTTGTCCATTTTCTATGGTTTGCCAGATAGTTAAGTACCTGCCAGATGTATTGTACTAATTATGGACTCTTTTTTGCCAGGGACTTAATTTGATAGTAATATTATGGATACAGTCTTACGTACCTAGGAAACAAAGTTAGGAGGACACTCTATACTAAGGGACAGATGTATCTCGAAAATGTTTTGTGAAAATCAATGATTTTGAAGAAGACTTTAAAAACCCTTGTGTGAATTTTAAGGATGCAAAGGCAAAGAAGCTTTTGCATTTGGTTGATTAGCGAATAATAATTGTAGTTTACTATGGTTTCAAAAAGGTTCACAATAGGAATATTTTACCTTTATTGTTTAGCAGATATTTTGCTATAGCACATAAAATGTGTTGTCACAAAAATACAAAGATGCCTCATCAATTCTGATTTAAATATTGTGTAAAGAGTTGTGCCTCTTGGAAATGTTGATTATATGGAAAATTGCATCGTTAGCGCTCTCATATGTACAATTCTTGCCAGAATTTTATGAAACTTATATCATTAAAAAATTGTAACGCTATGAAAAATACCAATAGAAAAGATCTTGGAATAGGAGGTAAAATATGTCATGTCATTGTAGCTACAAATTTTACACCATGTAAGTACATGTACTCAGATGTGTTTGCTTGTAATGTTTGAATCGACAATGATTTATATGTTCATATTTTTCATTAATCTTTATACAATTTCAATGCCTATATTCCGTTTATTAAGGCAAATGGAAAACAAGATGTTATCATAGATTACATGTAGCTTTATTTCAGTGCTTATTTATTTTTCAGGGGAAAAGTAAGACTGTTTGTAGACTGTGTCTGATATCCTTATTGTATGTACAATATGTTAAAACACAAGCACAGTACTGTACCAAACCTACAGATGCACAAATCAACAACCCTAATGGTAAGTAGAAAAGTGTTAAGACATCAGGTCATCAGGCTGGTCAAACATTCCCATATTAAGTATCAAACTTCATTCTACTGGCATGAGTGGTATTCATTTACAAATAAATATACATGGTGTGGAGGATGAACAACTGGGACCTGTCTGCAAAAGAACTGTTGTGACCAAAGTTAAACTTCACCTCAGCAAAATCTATAAAAGTATAAACAAAACTCCATTGTGCTAGATCCTGTAAAATGGCATCAAGAGTTAAATCAACTTTAAAACAACTGAATCACTATCAATGACTAAAAAATAAGAATGCTCTCCAACAGCCATTGATTGAATTTTTACTGAAATTAAATGTAGAAACTTATATAAGTAAGACTATTTAATAAATATCTAAATAGAACATCTACAGATGATGGGCTTTAAATACTCTTTGGTGAAAAAGTGGCTTTCTAACCCTATTTTTACAATGTGTATAGGACTCATCTTATCTCTCTGTCCTAAGTTTAAGCTATAAAATCGCAATTAAGGCTTTCATGATAATCTGATTGATTTTAGGATTGTTTAAGGTCAAATACATGTACCGTATCAAGAAGTTTGTGAAGAAAGATAATTGTTGTTTGACAAGTTTTGATACTAGTAGGAACAAGAGGTGTGAGATTTGCTAATAATACCAATAACTTGAAGCAGAAGATACATGTGTAATTCTGTAGGAGAAATCTCTTTGAAAAAAACAAGACCATTGGTTAGATATTCTGTCACAGTATAAGCATTGAAGGATCCTTAAATATTTGGCAAGTATCCACAACTTACACCTAACTGAGAAAACACACAGCATTATGTTACACAATTCAATATTGAAGGCTTTTAGTTAACTCTAGTAGAATATGTAAAAATATAGGATCTTATGTGTTTGATTAAATTATTGTTAAATTTTAATGTTATGCTTTCTGTTACAGCTCCTCCATTTCCAAATTTACCTACTTCATTCCAGACTAGAATTGAAGCTGCCATAATAGACAAAAATTACACAATGTCAGGAGAAGAGTACTTTGACAATCCTAACAATCAGGCTTCTCTGTCTTTAATGAGATCTGGAGCTATATATAAACTCATTTTTGATTATGCTAATGATCAACTGTTTTATGTACAACGTAAGTATTAAGAATAGAATAAGAATAGAATGTTGTCTCAATCACTAGTTTTCTGTTAAAAATTATCTGTTTTGATGGGCATGAGCACTGGGTTTATGTGCAAGTGGTGGTGCTCCAGACACCTGAGGAAAAATCCCAATGAGATCTGTTGGAGACCTAATGATGGTACTAATAACATTTGCCAACTTCAAAATATAATTCTAACACTGTTTGGTTAGTAAATATATTCATATGCTTTTTAGTCTTGATTCAGCACAGCAATGTTATAGAACAGCATTTTTTTCTCTTGCAAATTAAAAAATATGAATTTCAGATGTTTAGTAGAATTTAAAAATGAAAAGAAATTTAAAAAAAATCTAATTATGCTTTACAAATTAGTGAAAAATTATTCAAAAAGACTGTTAGACATGATATTTATAGTAGGAGTTTCTTAATATTAACTTACAAATAAAAGTAGTTTATAAGATATGTATCAAGTTTCTGATCAGAATCTTGACTTACAAATAAAAGTAGTTTATAAGATATGTATTAAGTTTCTGATCAGAATCTTGACTTACAAATAAAAGTAGTTTTATAAGATATGTATTAAGTTTCTGATCAGAATCTTGACTTACAAATAAAAGTAGTTTATAAGATATGTATTAAGTTTCTGATCAGAATCTTGACTTACAAATAAAAGTAGTGTATAAAATATATATTAAGTTTCTGATCAGAATCTTGACTTACAAATAAAAGTAGTTTATAAGATATATATATTAAGTTTCTGATCAGAATCTTGACTTACAAATAAAAGTAGTTTATAAGATATTTATTAAGTTTCTGATCAGAATCTTGACTTACAAATAAAAGTAGTTTATAAGATATGTATTAAGTTTCTGATCAGAATCTTGACTTACAAATAAAAGTAGTTTATAAGATATGTATTAAGTTTCTGATCAGAATCTTGACTTACAAATAAAAGTAGTTTATAAGATATGTATTAAGTTTCTGATCAGAATCTTGACTTACAAATAAAAGTCGTGTATAAGATATATATTAAGTTTCTGATCAGAATCTTGACTTACAAATAAAAGTAGTTTATAAGATATATATTAAGTTTCTGATCAGTCTTTTCTGTAATTGAAAAAAAGATGAATGAAAAATTGAATATACCATTTGTGCTCTCACAAAAAGAATTTATCAGTGATTAAAATAAAACTATATTTACTATAACTTTATTTTAGCTGACCAGGCTTGTGTAGTACACAACTTGACAACTGATGACAATAATCTTTTATTTGGCCTACAGTTTGTAAAAGGATTTCCACATGTTTTTACTACCAGTGGTGTGTTACACTTTGCAAAGAAATTTGGAGAGGTATGTGCATATAGATGGTGGGTCTATTGGATAGCTGTGCTATATTAAGAAAATTTTCAGGCCAGGGTTTCAAGAAAAACATAATTTAAGTCCAAATTTCTGAACATTATTGTGATCTTTTCATGTTTCCATATGATATTGCACTTCTATTTTTCTGATATTTGATTTGTTTAATCTTGACAGGTATGAAAGTTCCATATATCATTTTTTCCATTCATATTATTAAAGTCCTTCAGGTTCTAATTGCATAAACAATTTCAAAACAAATCAGTAAGATTCTCAAATTTCATACCTGTTACCTTAAGTTATACATTAAAAGTAGACAAATTATTGCCAGCCTCTGACTAACACTGGCTGAACAATAATATACATCACATCATTTGCAGTAAATATTATCAGACTGAATGTCTACTTATGATCAAAAAATATTTCAGGCAACAATATATATAGGCAATTTGTGATCTAAGTTAATCTGGCAAAAAAGAAGGGGGCTTATATAACAATTCTAGAGTTAGTTTTATTTCAGTGTATAAAAGTTTATTTATTTTTATTTTAGCAATACATAGGGAAAACACAAATAAGAGGAGTATATGTAGATCATTGGAGAACTTGTATGTACTGGGCAGCAGTCAAAGCCAACTTCACTCTAGATTATTACTTTACAGGTATATATGATAATGAAAATTTATACATTTCCCTGGCATTGTCTCTACCTAAGAAAGTACAAACAACATAGCACAGAAAGGTGAACTTTCTTTCAATCTAATCAATGTCCATGTCAAGCAGTTTATTAATGATATATACTCAGATTTTCCAGTTACAAAATTATGTGTATAATTGTCGAGATAACTATTACATTAAAAATGACATAAGTTGTGGATGGCATATAATTTATCTGTTTTAAATTATACAAATTTCAACTACATTTATGGACAAAGGAAGATTAACTCCAATTCAAAATTTAGCTTGAATGTGTTCTATTGTTAATAATACAATGCAATGTTTAATTTGAAATTCATATTGCAAAATGAAAGCAATCTTAACCATTTAGTGCTCACAAGCAGTTTGATTTTATATGTTACAAATTAAATGCATGATGATGTTACAGAAAATACAGAAAATTTAGATATGTATATGAACTAGAACTGTACTTAGTTAGAGGCTCAAAGGAACAAAGACATTTTTTAACAACTTTAGACTTAGTGATCACAACAAATTTAGAAATTAAAGACAGAAAATGTAACTTAAAGGAAACAGTAGAAGATGAATGGCATTTGTCTCTCCTTGTCCAAATCTATCTGGATAATTACATTGTTATTAATCTGCCCTTGAAAGGGCACCTTGATTGGTGAATAAAATTATCTGTATTTGTTAACTGTCAAGAATTAAAATCAACCCTAGCCTGAATATCAGTTTCGTATACAAAATTATCAACTTTGAGTTTTTTTTTGTAAAGCAATTGCCCAAACTTAACATTAACCCAGTTAACATAAAATTTTAAGAGAACAATATAATTTGTACAAGCATCTAATCACTAAATGATAATAATTTAAGAAATTTGTGGATTATGAAAATGTGAACACAATGATATTATCTTCAAAGTATTATCCATAGACTCTTGTAAAAATGTCAACTTTTGTTTAAAATGAATAACAAAAGACATGCACAGGAGAGGTTATATCTTGTAAAAGGGACCTAAAACATGGGATGGGGTTAAAATAGTCTTGAGATCCCAACTGTCTTCCTTTTAATCTTGACCCCTGGTTAAAAAAGTAGGTAAATGAAATTTCAGTGAAGGAAAAGTTATTAACTAAATAACTGGATATAGTACATAAGAAAAACACAAGTTCAAACAATAACAAACAATACTATATCATAAATGCTCTCAGTAACTGAAAGCAAGCTCAAAATAACAGTCTGATGTTAATAATGCTGTCCTACAGTGTACCTTGGTGGCAGTATTTACAGTAGATCAACCTCATAAACAGTACAGATAAAACTCGTTCTTGTGTAATGAGGTATAGATTGGGGAGTTGAAGTTCAATGAATATCTATGAATATTTTTTTCATAAAAAATCTAGACTTTCATATTAATAAGAAGCCATTACCAGAAAGAAAGTTTTAATATAGTGTGTCACCTATTTTTCATCAGATCAAAACTGGATAACAGCTGCTGGTTGGCCTCAGATACCAGTTCGTGCTGAAGTAACTGGTGTAATGATACAGAAGGATGGTACAACATACAATATACATCATTATTATGACTACACAGATTTCAGAGCTGCTGTTTATGCTGATCACACTGTTTTTGAGGTATATTGTATTAATATTATTAGGATTTTGTTGTCTGATAGAAATTAAGTAAGTTCTTTTATATAATATTGCTAGCTCATAATGAAAGGATTATATTATGACTCTATTTTTGTCAATCCAGCAAAATGTATTTTGCAAAAGCGAGACATAGCGATCCTAGATTCTGTCAGGGGCATCTGTGTCGTCAGCGTCAACATTTAGGTTCTGTCTGTTGTTAATGTTTTTTTGGACATCAATAACTTTGTCAAACCTACATGGAATTAGATGAAATTTGGACAGAAGCTTGTTTATGACCAAAATACTGTATCCGGAGCAAAATTTTTAAAATATTTACTTTCATTTTTCTATATTTTACTGATAAATGGACATAGTTTTTTTTACAGTTAACAATCGTATTCAGTCTAAGGTTAAAGTTTTTCAGTCATCAATAACTTTGTCAAACCTTCATGGAATTTGATGAAGTTTGGACAGACACTTGATTATGACCAAATTACAGTATCCAGAGCAAAATTTTGGAAATATTTATTTTTATTTTTCCTTATTTTACTGATAAATGGACTTATTATGCCCCCGCCGTAGTGGTGGGGTCATTAAGTTTTACCCTTGTCTGTCTGTACGCAAGTACGTCCCAAAATTAGTTTCCGTTCTCTAACTTGAATTTGCCTCAACCAAATGTTATGAAACTTATACACAATACTTATTACCACACCACACAGATCAAGTTTGAATTTTGGTGGTGTCACTTTAACTTTAAATCTGTGTAGTCATAATAATGATGTATATTGTATGTTGTACCATTCTTCTGTATCATTACACCAGTTACTTCAGCACGAACTGGTATCTGAGGCCAACCAGCAGCTGTTATCAAGTTTTGATCTGATGAAACTTGTTTACGATTAAGAGATAATATCTGAAGCACACTTTTGAAAATATATTTTTATTTTCAGTATTTTTCTGATAGATGGACTTTTTTTACAGTTAACATTTACAGATAGTCTGGGATTAAATTTTTTTGACATGATAAGTTTGTTAACCTTCATGGATTGTTATGAAACTTGGACAGAAGCTAATCTTCAAGACCAAGAAATACCATCTAAGGAGAAAGTTTGAATCTGATAAATGGACTCACTTTTTAAGTCAACATTACACTTTTACACTGACAGCAGCAATCGTAGTCGAGACACAGGGTTCCGTGGAACCCCTTAAAATTTTTTATGAATGATAATTTTAAATGTCTGTGTCAAAACAATTTTGTAATTATATAATATATAGCAATTTTATTCTAGTTTTATATAGGACTATAGAAATATTAACTGAAATATCTTGTATTCTTAAGATAGGCCTACTTATATTTTAATTGCAAAGTTTGATGGAATATGAAATTTTTTGTGTGTCTATCCAACGATCTTAACCTTTAAATGAAAGATATTGATAAAACTTGGTATGATTGCTGTTCACAATGCAACCAGTTTGTCATTAATAAATTAGAATGTTTTTTGAAGCAATACAAAGTCACATTTAATGTCAAATCTTGAAACCTAAAAATATTCAACCTACTAGTGTTGGTATGAATCAAAAGTAGCTACATATTCATTCAAACATCATATCAAATATGTTTTATATTGTAGACTCCATCAGGAGTTGTCTGTCCAGGACGCAAGCAGACAAGAAGTATACCAAAATTAGGTCAGGCCTTTATGTATAGAGAGGAAATTATTGGTACTGGTGGAGTACAGGAAGTTGATGTAAGTAACAAGGCAGCACAAGTTACAAAGACGGAATAAAGGTCCAAGCAGCACAATATTTTTCTCCCTGAATATAATTTGGTGGTGGGTTATCAGTCTTTGAAGGTAACAGACTGTAACAACCCGGTTTGATATTGCTGGTGGTGGATTATCAGTCCTTGAGGGTAACAGACAGTAACAACCTGGTTTGATATTGCTGGTGGTGGATTATCAGTCCTTGAGGGTAACAGACTGTAACAACCTGGTTTGATATTGCTTGTGGTGGATTATCAGTCCTTTAGGGTAACAGACTGTAACACACAGGTTTGATATTGCTGGTGGTGGGTTATCAGTCCTTGAGGGTTACAGACTGTAACAACCTGGTTAGATATTACTGGTGGTTGGTTATCAGTCCTTGAGGGTAACAGACTGTAACAACCTGGTTTGATATTGCTGGTGGTGGATTATCAGTCCTTTAGGGTAACAGACTGTAACAACCTGGTTAGATATTACTGGTGGTTGGTTATCAGTCCTTGAGGGTAACAGACTGTAACAACCTGGTTTGATATTGCTTGTGGTGGATTATCAGTCCTTTAGGGTAACAGACTGTAACAAACAGGTTTGATATTGCTGGTGGTGGATTATTAGTCCTTGAGGGTAACAGACTGTAACAACCTGGTTAGATATTACTGGTGGTTGGTTATCAGTCCTTGAGGGTAACAGACTGTAACAATCTGGTTTGATATTGCTGGTGGTGGATTATCAGTCCTTGAGAGTAACAGACTGTAACAAACAGGTTTGATATTGCTGGTGGTGGATTATCAGTCCTTGAGGGTAACAGACTGTAACAACCTGGTTTGCATTTACAATTTGCTACAATATAAAACTTATGGGCTTAGCCTAAGACAAAATAGAGGTGATTCTTAGGTTTATCAGATTTAATATTTCTTGTTTATTGTTACGTCTGAATTAAATACATTTAAAATACAATTGATTAGGGAGTACACATTTCACTGATTTTCTTTTAATTTAAGGTTTACTATGATGATAGTTACAGCCTGTTAAGATATGACTTCAGACCAAGTGGTCAATGGCCTTATGGAAACAATGATGCTGCAGCTGAAATTCATGACTTCAACACAGGTACCTTAACTTTTAAGAAGATACTGTAGAAATCTATATGATTTTCTACAGTATCTGTGCATGGTAATAACTTAAATTGATTTGTACTTTGTGTAAAACATCAATCTTTTTCACACTTCTGGAAAATCTGTTTATAATAATTACCAAAATAATAAAAACTTTTCTAAAACTGATTGTAATTGTATAGATCAATTTGAATAAAATGATACAGAGCTGCCGAATAAAAGGAGAACATATGCCTACCAAAGGAAGATTGAATTATTTAAATTATTGTCTTGAAGGATTACAACCCTCAATTAGCATATCAATCATTATTTTTAAAACTAAAATGGATCAACTGAAATTCAAATAATTGTTGTTTGTGACGTTGTAGCTGTTTTGAAGACACATTGAAACACAATATTCATACTTGGGATTCATTTATTTACTTAGGCACCAAGTTTTGTGCATACTTGATTGCATGGTCTTGACAAATTTTGCATACAAGCAGTGTATGAAATTTATACTTTATTGGTTGATCTATATCCCAAGATCCACAAAAATTAAAACTCAATGTCTAATGATTTTGTAGCACACAAGCAAAGAAGTGTATTTCAAAATTATTAAAATCTGTTCCATTATTCATTTTTTCTGTATATAATCAACTTCTGAATGACCTGCTTTTTTCAAAAGCTTTTCCACTAACTTTTTAATGATGATAATTGAATTTTGATCAGGTGTTGCTTATGCTATTGACAAGGCTCTACAGAACTGCAGTATCATACCTATTCAGAATGGTTCCTTTGATTCCACCATCAATGTCACTAATGCTGTTACTACCAATGCCTTTGTTATGAGAATGAAAACACCAAAACAGATCTTCTACTTGGACAGTAACTTTACATTTGAAGGACAGGTATTTACACCTCATTGAATATTCAACACTTCTTTACTAGAGCCAATGTTTGGAATCTTATACTGTAATCGGGTTTTAATTTCTGGTCTATAAATTTTGAACAAATTCGAGTTAAATCATGTCTTGATATGAATTGCAGAGGGTTTGTTGTAATATTGTTGAAATGCCTTGAAAGTTAAAGTCACAATATTAAGTTGAGGACAAACTATACCATCACATTCAGTCTGTTTGTTTAGAAAAATAGTGATTTTGATGTCATTGTTTACTTAAACCAATGACCAAATTTGCAGAAATGAAAATTTACTTGTCCATGATTTTGTATTAAAAATTAAGGATTATTGTGCTCTATAGCATACTTTCCAGAAAACCAGGGGTTATTTTTAATAATTGTTGACTTCCAAATTGTTGTGTTTACCCACAAGAGTTTAAACATTGTTTGAAAATTGGCATATAGAAAGGTGATACATGTAAAATTTAGGATATACCTGGTTTCTATGAAGTTAAACTTAAGGTAATATATTTAGAAAGCTGTAAAAATTGAAAAATTTGGTTAATTGAATTGGTGGTCTGACACCTTTCAACAGCTTGAGTAACTAAGTAAAGTAAAAGGATATTATGTCTCATGAGCATTCATTAGTGATGAATGAGGTCACAATGTACCTTGTTTTTTAATTAAATTAAAAAAAAATTGTATTTGAATATGAAATATGAAGAGAAAAAAACAACAACACAATTTGATTTTTAGATCTGAACTACTTTCTAACACATGTACGGAGGTTACACATTTTTGTTGCAAAAGCGAGACATAGCAATCCTACATTCCGTCGGCGGCAGTGTCCACAAATATTCACTCTGTGGTTAAAGTTTTTGAAATTTTAATAACTTTCTTAAACTATCCTGGATTTCTACTAAACTTGGACAGAAGCTTGTTTATGATCATAAGATAGTATCCAGAAGTAAATTTTGTAAAAAAAAATCCTGTTTATTCGTATTTTACTTATAAATGGACCTAGTTTTTCTGCCAGTTAACATAACATTCACTTTGTGGTTAAAGTTTTTAAAATTTTAATAACTTTCTTAAACTATCCTGGATTTCTACCACTTGGATAGAAGCTAGTTTATGATCATAAGATAGTATCCAGAAGTAAATTTTGTAAAAAAAAAATCCTGTTTATCCATATTTTACTTATAAATGGACTTAGTTTTTCTGCCAGTTAACATTACATTCACTCTGTGGTTAAAGTTTTTAAAATTTTAATAACTTTCTTAAACTATCCTGGATATGTACCAAATGTTGTGAAGTCCTTGTCACACAAGCATTTGAAATTGGATATTTTGGTAGTATAAAAAACTCACATTACTTTCTTGATTATTTATTCCATCAGTAACATCGATACATATACAATAACATTATCTTATTTGATTAAGCTCTTCTGGCTTTATATAGCAAATATGAAACAATGAAAGGAGCGCATTTAACAATGACAGGATCATATTAAACAAAGGAAGGAGTTTTAAACAAAGAACGGAGTTAAGTTAAACAATTAATGGATCTTTAAATACATTATAACAAAAGGAGTAATAAGTGGAGTGCAATTTTAAATACATGTTCGCGCCTCGTGACACTCCCCACTCAAAGTTAAACAATTATAAGTGTCACTGAATTAAATGTTCATAAATGTCTTGTTCCATATTAAAGTCTGACACATATGTTTGTCCATCAATAGTTGAAAGAGTTCTTTGAAAAGTAAGAATCAATGTCTGCTGAATAGTTGAGTTGCCGATGGTCATCAGGGATCTCTCATCATTTATTACATCGTCGTCATCATCACTGACTATAATTACATCATTTGTATTATTGTTAATGTCACTATTAGGCTGATCATTCGACTTGCAGCAATCAGAAATGTTATCATAAGAACTGTGTCGGCTCTCCGCATCACTCGTACCACACGAATCAACATCTTTGCTTGTATTTTCACATTCTTCTTCATGCTTATCTGTAGCTGTACAGTCATTTATTTCATCATCACTGATATTATCCAAACTGTCTAGAAATTCTTCAATACTCATTGATGGTACTACTTTTTGTTTTTCCGTTTCTATAGCATCGTTAATCAGGTCTAGAATGGTATCATCCTCGCTAACATCATCATAATATTGTTCATTGTTGCTACTTGACCTTCTTTCTGCAGATAACGATTTACATCTAGCCAACTCTTCTTTGATGCCATGAATGGTAGTTAAATGATTAAACAAGTAACCTCTTCTGATAAATGTTGAACTGCAGTTATCTTCTGTGCAGTCAAACGACTCTAGGCCAGCATAGTGTTCTTTTATATGGCGTATGAGATTCTTCTCGTATTTATATTCCTTGTAGCAAATTAAGCAAGTGTACATCGTGGCTACGGTAACTATGTGAATGAAGATTTAATTCAATAGATCGGTTTTTATACAACCACATAGACACTGAATAAGAAAATCGTGCAAAATCAAGCTCCGTTTAAATTTCAGCTCTGTTTAAATTTCAGAGATTGAATGCTTCATTAAACACAATATAACATTTGGGCACACTCTATTCATTTGAATTATTTCTAAATATAACTTTATACAAATATTATCAACACAACAACACATATATATTGATCATAAATTTAACTCTTGAATTTTCTTTTTGGCAATTTCTGCCGGCGTCCGGATAGGTCTTTTTGGCATTTCTCTATATTTGGGAATAATTGCCAAGTCTTGTGATTTTGGATCATCGTTTGAAACTTCATCTATTTCGACCAATTATATTTCCATTGGCTAATCTCACTTTAACCGACCTTAACTGGCCATCATTACTTTGAATCAACTTTACAATCCTCCCCAATTTCCACATTCCTTTTGGTAAATCTTCTTTTATTATTACTACACTCCCAATACTTGGAGATATTGTAGACTTTATTTTTCCACACTTTAAGTTAATTTGTTTTCTTTCTCTTAAACTTAGAAGATATTCTTCTCTCCAAGTTTTCCAAAACGAGTTTAATATATTTTGTCATTTTCGCCATAGCTCCTTCAGTTTTTCAGATGATGTTTCACAATGTTTGGTAAGAAGGATCTTTCAGATCATAATCGACATCAGGAATTCGGTTTTGTGAATTAATTGCAAGGAAATGATTTGGGGTTAAAGTTGTTCTCGATTTCAGTTCTTCATCGACATACACTAATGGTCTCGAATTTATCACAGCTTCTATTTCTTTCAACAGGGTCAATAACTGAACATCTGAAACGAAACGTTTTCTCAATGTTTTCCTTAGACAACGCTTTACGAGCCCAACTAAATGCTCATAGAATCCACCCATCCAAGGTGCAAGTTCTGTTATAAATTTCCATTGAATTCCATAGCTGGACATGTAATTTTGTACTATTTCATTTTTGATAATTGTATTTTCCCAGACTGATTTTATGGTTTCACTTCCTAACTTAAACTGAGAAGCGTTATCACTAATAACCTCACTTGGTGTTCCTCTTGTCGATACAAATCTACATAATGCACAAATGAATTCCTCAGTTGTCATGTCATTCACAATTTCCAGATGAATGGCCCGTGTCGCAAATCATGTAAATAAACAAATCCATCTTTTCTTCATCACAGTGCCATCATTCACATAAACTGGACCACGGTAATCAAGACCAGTTCCTTGAAAAGGCAAGATTCTGGAGACTCTTGATCTTGGAAAAGGAGCCATATTTGGCATTTTGAAAGAACCATCTTCAAATCTCTTGCATGTTTTACAATGCCGTAATATTTGCCTTACAGTAGCTCTTCCTTGTGGAATCCAAAACTTGTTCCTGATCCTACACAATGTATGAGAAACACCACTATGAAAAAGTTCTTTGTGAGTTTTTTCAACAAGAAGTCGAGTGAATGTCTCCCTACGAGGAAGAAGAATAGGAAATTTAGCACATTCACTAATATCAGCATTTTCAAATCTTCCTCTGCAACACAACAGGTTATCATTATCTAAGAAAACTCCTAATTGAACTTTTAAATTGTTCTTCGGACCTGTATGAATTGAGTTAAACACATCAGCAAAACTCTTTCTTTGAACACTTTGAATCCACTTTTTCTCAGCTTTCCTGGTTTCTTTAACAGATAAATATTTCTCACTATTCGAGGGAATCCTTTTGATCTTTGAAATGAATCTTTCACTCCAGGCAGTAACTCTAATAAGTTTGTGGTATGATGAGAATCTTCTGATATCTATGTTGTATGGCATTTTATTACTCGTGATTTCTTGTCCATTTTCACTAACAAATGCACTTTCCTTTTGGTTTTCACTTGTTCTAAGTTCACTTTTGAATTGGTCATTAACTTTCTGATTAGCAGCATCATCATGATGAATCTTTTCCCAAGTATTCTTGTCTTGTTTTAGCCAACTAGGACCGTGCCACCAAAGGTGATCACTTCTGAGTTTTTGTACTAACGTTCCACGCGTTGCGACGTCTGCTGGGTTTTCTTTTGTAGAGACATACATGAAACTTATATCTTTATGGCTTGTAATTTCTTGAACTCTATTTTCAACAAAAACTCTAAGACTTTTCTTTGTTGATAGCCATTTCAACACACATTGTGAATCTGTCCATAGAAGCGTCTTGTCAATCACTAGTGTCAGTTCTGTTTTTACGAACTTCAGACTTCTAACACCAATGAGAACTGCCATTAGTTCTAACTTAGGGATGGTCATACCCTTAATAGGGGCTAGCCTCGATTTTGAGAAAATCAAATCACATTTTGTTGCTTTTCCGCTTGATTGATGAATGTAAATCACAGTTGAATAGGCTCTTTTCGATGCATCACAGAAACATAATAACTTATATTTCACATTATTTTGGTTAGCTTCTAATCCTATGAATCTTGGAATAGAGACTTCTGAGATTTTCCTTAATTCGGCACTTATACTAATCCATTTCAACTTATCATATCCACATATCTCATCATCCCATTTTAAGTT